ATTTCTTCCTTTTTACTATCTTTTTTTCATCAGCATTCAAATATATTGTGGTGTCTCCCATCTTAAAACACTCTATCTCTCCTTCCCTCCCTCCCTCTCCCTCCCACCCTGTCTTTCTCTCTATCCTCCTCTCTTTCTCTCTCTCTCTCCCTCTTTCAAGCGCTCTATCTATCTTTCCCTCCCTTCTTCCAAATTTCCTCCATTTCCGTTGCTACCAAACCACCATCATCTCTCACCTGGGCTTCTGTACTGTTCATCTACTATTCCTGAGTCCAATTTGAGCCCCCAAAGTTCATTTCCCATGGAGCGGCCAAGGTGATATATTTAACAGGAAATAAGATCATGCCACCAAATCTCCCACCCTTACAACCTTTCAGTGGCTTCCCCTTGCTTTTATAATAGAATTCAAACTTCTGATCAAGGTCTATAAAGCCCTGCAGGATCTGTCCTAGCTTGCCTTTTCAACAGTTAATTTCCTCCTTGCTCACTTTAGCCCATCCCCAAGGGTCTGCTTTCTGCAACTAAAATTCAACCATCTCAGCCTTTCTCATTTGCTGTTCTCTTGGAATACTTTTCTTCCTTATCTTTGCATGCCAACACCTTCATATCACAATACGTACACAATTATTATATACAACTTATAGACTGACTTGTCCTGCTACAATAACGATAGGATATCTTTATATAGCACTTGATATGAATCAGGTAATGATTCTAGGAACTATATATTTATATGAATATATTAATTTTAAATTGTATTTGTTATTGATTTATAATTTATTCTAACAATAATCTATTAGATAGCACTATTGTTACCCCCATTTTACAGGTGAGGAAACTGAGCACAGAGAGATGAAATGAAATTAAGTAATTTGCCTAAGGTCTCAGCGTGAGTAATTGGGAAAGCCAGGATTTCAATTCAGGTACTCTGGTTTCAGAGCCTTTGTTCTTAACTGAGCTTCTCAATGATACTCTTTGTATTATTTGAAATGTTTCTCTGATTACACAACACATAATGGATATGTGTTTTTGAAACTATTATTTAATGAAACTATACAAATATATGTAAGATTTAAACTTCTTTCTTATCAAATTTTATTCTCTTCTTTCAGAACTGCTCTTAAAATATTTCAACAGGAAAATTTTAAAAACCAAAACAAACCAAAAAAATGACGTTTATGTGTGTGGAATGGGAGTCACTTGATTATTTTGTAAAAACAATAGGAGTATAATTCTATTTCCTTTCTAATATGATCTATTTTACATGAAACATTCTAGGCAGAATATTTGCTACATGAAGATTTTGATTGAATAATTGTATATGCCAATTAATATAGCAAAATAAGTTTCTTGGTAAATACTGCTAGTAATTGTTGAATTTGACTCTATAGAATTTCTTTTAACATTTTCAATATTCTAGTACATTTATTTCAATTTTTCATGAGAATAGTTTCATTAAGATAATTATGTCAATGATGCAACAATTTCAGTACAACAATTTAAACTTTTTATTATGCCAAGATCAAAGATTACTTATCAGAAACACAGTGAATATCCTCAAAACAGATTTCCTTAGTAAATATTTTTGGTGGATAGGAAATAGAATCTCGATTCTGGTTCATGAGCCAAATTTTTCAAAGAAAATTTATTTTATTCACTACACATGTTATTATATTTTTGTTAAAGAGTCTTATTTAATCCACTTGTGTCTTTGCCACCACCAATGACGATGATTATGGTAGGATATTAAAGATCCAGGAAACTTACCACATATTCCCCTCCAGAATACAGAAACAACTAAAAACTAAACATAGGGAATGACCCATAGAGACAACAATACCAGACTTACGGCTGATAAAACTAGATTGTTGAACGTTGTTTTGATATGTGACGATAATGGGCTTTTCAAACCTCACTTCCTAATTCTTAAACACAAAGTCACAAAGAGAAAGAGGGTGAACCACAGAACTTCCCAACAAAGCTGCATGGCAGAGAGCAAGCAGACCAGAATTAACTCTACAGCAAGGCAGACATGAAAGAGAAAGAGAGAATGGCTTTGAACTCGGCAACTTCTTTTCGCTTCTTTTAACCTAACACTCAGGAGAAGTCAGTGAGGGGTGGGTGAGGAAAGAAACCAGGAGTGATGAACTCTGTGATGTTACCCATGTCTCAAGAGAAACTATATGGGATCATTGAGTTGAGCACATTAGCAAAACATTTGCTGCCATTCCTGGAGTCCATGAAAACATTAAAATCTTCAGAATGATAAATAAAACAGGCTACCCAAGCAGAAAATAATATTGACATAATAGTTATATCTACTGCTATAAAGTGCTCAGTTATCTAGACAGTGTTTACATTTGTAACAGGCAAACTAAGTCACCAATAGATTTTGACTTGATCCCAGAACCAAAAACGAGTACAGCATCATGTTAATAATCAAGGAGAAAGGTTGAGTATTGCTATTGGCTGAGAAGTTATTTGTTAAAATTGTTTTCCTTCTAATGCCACTGTTCAACAATGTTTACTGTTTATATAAGAAACTTCTAAATGCCACTGTTTATATAAGAAATTGACTTCTACCTAGCCAAAGGAGATGGAGATTTTCTAGTAGACCTATTACAGTTTAGAGTATTATGCTTTAGTCTCCAGAATGTGCTATCAATCTCTGTTCCTTTGTCCAGCCATTGTGGAAATTCACACAAGGGGAAAATTTCTCAGGAAGCATAAATAAATAAAAATTTCTTTTTATAAAGAAAGATGATCCTGGTAATCTACTGCCAATACAATGTGCTTTGAGTTGGAATTGTACCTTGTCTGGAGTGAGCTCATCATTATATACTCATTGGGATTCCAATCTCTAGCCAGTTGAATTAGTCAGCTACCCCTAGGTATAATTGACCGATTTAGCAAATAAAAATATAGGATTCCCAGTTCAATTTGAATTGCAGAAAAACAACAAATCATTTTTTAGTATAAGTATGTCGCATGGCAATATACGGGGCATATTTATGTTAAAAAATTATCTGAAATTAAGATTTTCACTGGAGGGCCGGCCCAGTGGCACAAGCTGTCAAGTGCGCACACTCTGCTGTGGCGGCCCCGGGTTCGCCAGTTTGGATCCCAGGCACGCACCGATGCATCGCTTGGCAAGCCATGCTGTGGCGGCGTCCCATATAAAGTAGAAGAAGATGGGCATGGATGTTAGCACAGGGCCAGTCTACCTCAACAAAAAGAGGAGGATTGGCAGATGTTAGCTCAGGGCTGATCTTCCTCACACACAAAAAAAATAATAATAAAATAAAAGATTTTCACTGAGAATTCTCTATTTTGCCTGGCAACTGTATCCTTATAGCAGGATGCAATTCCTGGTATCTACCCCAGAGATATATGCAACCAAATATATTGCTTTATTTGAATATTAATTTGATGATTTTATGATTATAATAGTTTTACTGGCAAAGTTTTTGTGGGTTCAATACTGCAGTTTATCTGACTTTGTGCTAAGGATTTTCATTTATAGACTTTAAAAATAGGGCACATATCTGCATATCAACTTGCAATATCATAACTGAAAATATTAAGTCGTTCCCATTCAAGTGACAGGTTTCTAGTTAGATGAACACAATGGTAGACATTATTTTATGAAAAGAATATGTATTTTCCAGTGCAGTAAATTATTCATCTATGTTATCCTGAAAAAGACCTTTACTTTAATTTTATGCAGTTATTTGAATATCGATGTATCTCTTTTGGTATGAAATGTATTCTTAGATTTTTGGGTCAAACTGCAAAATTTGGTACTTCTCTCAGGATCCAAACTTGTCTGCAACTGAGGTGGCCAGAAGGATGCTATGGCTCCAGAGCAGGATTTTAAACAGTTCCCTCACAGCCTGAAGACTTTACTCTTGGGAGGGTTAATGTTTATTGAAGTGTGCGTCCACATGGCTTTACATTTATGTCTTATCATAGCCTTGGCAGCTAAAATTGGAGATCCTAAAGCTGTTTTCTTTTTCGGTGTCTTATGTAATGTCAAGTTAGCTCTTCAAACTTGAAGCCTGATGATGTCTTCAGAGTGAATTCATAAAATTAAAAGGGCACAGCTTTTTATTTTAAAAATATATATTATTTTAGAGGAAAAAGAAATGATTCAGTAGTATACTTCTCTTAAAACTGACAGTTAAATTCTCTTCCATGTGATTCTTTACATTCTGCAAAAACATTAGGATGGCTTATATTAGATACATCATGTAATGAAGTCAAACATATTTAGGGCCTTCACCTTTTTAGATATATTTCTGTGGTGTTTTCTAAACACAATGTCATTAGATGATTTTTCACAGCATATCCCATATGAATATTCCTGTCTGGCGTAACCATCTATAACCACAATTATTTTTTATAATTGAAAAGGCATAATAAATCAAGTGAACGTCTTGTCTAGCTATTTCTTTAATAGAAATACTTTTTCAGTGTAATAAAGGGTAAAGGGGCCGGCCTGGTGGCGCAGCGGTTAAGTGTGCGCACTCCCCTTTGGCGGCCTGGGGTTCGCAAGGTTCGGATCATGGGCAAGCACCAACACACTGCTTGTCAAGCCATGCAGTGGTGGCGTCCCATATAAAGTAGAGGAAGATGGGCACAGATGTTAGCCCAGGGCCAATCTTCCTCAGCAAAAAGAGGAGGATTGGCATCAGATGTTAGCTCAGGGCTGATCTTCCTCACACACACACACAAAAAGGGTAGAATATAACTGTGGCTGTTCTGAACAGAAGTAGATACTTTATTTTTACCATTTATTGTAACAAAAAATGAGTACCTGTCAGATATTTCCAATGACAGCAATTTGAAAATAGTCAAAGTTATGTACACAATTGTATTGTGGGCAAAACTATAGTAAGTTCTTGTTGACAGTTATATGGTTTGAAGTTAAGACGCTCTACAATAATTCCTGTAATTTTCTGTAAGCAGTATAACAAACTTGGCTTTTATTTATGTTCTAGATGAAATGAATGACCATCAAAGTACCCTCTCCTACATCCTGATTAATCCATCTCCAGATACCAGACTGGAGCTGAACGATGTTGTGTAAGTTGACCCATGTCTCACAAGAGGCATTTATTTTTAGAAAACCACGAATTTATTTATTTTTATATTTTTATTTCCACCATTATAGCTCCTTATTTTTCTTACAATGTAAATGCTTAGAAAGTCCAATTCTAATGTTTGTGTTCAATAAATAAATGCATTTTATATGTATTCCTGTGTGTAATACTATAAAAAAGCATTGTAGGATCGCAGAGGTATAAAACAAGGAAATAGCAGCATAAATTCTGTATTCTGTGAGCTAATATGTATTTGGGGAAATGAAAGCAAATATGTGAAATAAGAAGAAGACAGCCCAAAGGAAAACCTGGAATATACCATACTCTCTAGTTCTAAATACCTTAGTGTTCCTAAAAGCCAAAATGAAACAGGTCAAAACACTTACTAGGAAAAGGTAGTAATTTGCTTTGTCAAAAACTATGTACTGTGCATGTACAGTTGTACCAATGTTGCCTTGAAACTATGATACAGAGAAGAATAAGGACATTTCTTCTGATTTCAAAGTGCTTACATTCTAATTAACAAAACTACAATTTAAGCATAAAAATTTAATAGCAATATAATATGACTTTGTCACTAATGAAGTAAACGTCAGTTGAGTGAGACAGTGTTTTTCCAAATTCAAGGAGGAAGGCCTTATTGTGAGTTACAGTGATTACAAAGGATATAAGGTTTGAACTAGACTCTGGAGGGTAGATAGGATTTGTGTAGGTGGAGAGCAAAGGATGTTCCAGAACAGGGAAATGGCTTGAGAAAGTGCACCACGTGGGGATGCATAATGTGCTCCATTTGGCAACACTACATAGTCCGGTTTGACCAGAATAAAAGGTTTGTACTATTAGCATTTCTGCTATTAATTAGTTAAACATAATATTGGAAACATATTAAACCTGACTTTGGAAGGACCTTAGATGACAAAATAGGGAATTTAAACTCAACCTTACAGGCAATGGATAGCACTTAGATACATGAGCAAGAAAGTAGCAATATTTTACAAAAGACATTTTGGCAATTGGTATATTCCTAGAAGAGAAATTCTTAATAAGAATCTGCCCTGAAGTCCATGGTCCTGAGGCTGAGCCAGATCAAGAGCTGCTTGCCCCAGTAGCCAACTCCAGATCATATTAGTGACATAAAATAAATGCGAAAGATCTACAAGTCTTTGTGGGTGTTAGGTCCACAGGATGTGCTTGTATCTATAGTCAGGAATATTTGTAATTAGGTCAGAGCCTAGGAGGAGTGAGAACATTCTGTGATGCAGAGTATAAAATGTTTCCATGCAAGTGGTTTAGAACTAAAGCTAGTAATATGCCAAGAATTAGATAGAAGCCTACTTTTATATGTTGCCAGTTTTGTGGGCGATTTTGGCTGGATGGAAAGAGTACAATTTATTTTTTTTTAAGAGCTCTGCAAGAAGCAATAGAGTTGATTGGCAGGATGGATTAGGGTTGAAGTAAGCCTTTAAAGAGAGAAACCAGCTAAAAAGCGGTTATGCAGGTGTGAGGGAGATAAGAATCTGTCATGGCATCAGGATAATGGATTGTAAAGGCAAGCTCCTATGTAGATAAATTTTTGAAGGCAGAGTGAGACTTGTTCATTGGTGTGGGAAATGGAAAAGAAGGAGTCTAACATGGCTTTAAGATTTCAAATCTATGTGATTGCAAAAAAAAAAATGCTGGTTCACTGAAACAAGTCAGAATAGGGAGGCAATTTTTTAAGCAGGAAAAAGTTGTTGGCTGGGGAGGAAAGAGAGATGATGGGCTGGAGTTTAGTTACATTGTTCAATGTGCTCAGTGGAAATGACTAGAAAACATATAGAGTTCTTGAGCTTTAAAGAGGAGCTAGTTCTATATAGAAAACATTTATTTTTCATCTTCTAGATGAATAAAGCTAAAAAGAGAATGACTTTTCCAAAGACGAGATACATAAATTAGAAAAAGTAGAAGAATGAATATTGGATTGTTGACTAGCATTCAGTTTTAGTGCAGAGACATGAATGTGTTTCACAAACTTCTTCGGAAAATACATCAGCAGGGGTGACTTTAACCCAAAATCAGCTTGAAAAGATTTTTACAACGCACCTAAGATACAGCTAGCAAGTATAATAATGCTTTATTTTGCCATCTGATGATACTGGTTAGAATATAGGAGCTTTGGGGGATCAGAAAGGTAATTTCAGCTGTTAGAGTTCTTAAGGCAGCTGTCAAAAATTACATCCAGGGGTGATGCTGAATTTACAGAGGACTTCAAGTTAGATGAAAATATCTTATTTATGATGCACCTGGCTTTCAACTGCCCATTCTGGAGACTTCACTTATTATATTACTATAATAAAACAAAACTGCTCTTTTTTTCTTGTGTCCATATTTATATATGTCTTCTTTCCTTTAAACTCATAAAATCAGGCAATTTTTATTAATTCTCCAATCTGCCCCGTAAGTCCAACCTTCTCAGGCCTCTTTTTCAAGTTAATTTTAACTGTGTTAACTATATAGAGTTTTTTAAAAGCTATGCTTACCTTATTCGTATTCTATAATAAATTCTAAGTTTCTTGAGCCTAATATAATTATTTACCATGATTATTTTTGATAGAATGGGAAGATATTGTTAACCTTTTGAGTCTATGAACATGTCCTTCCATCAAATAGATACTTATAATTTGAAATAATTCCCCGAACTTTTAAACTTACAAATAAAATATGTATGTTGGAAGGTATACAGGTAAAATAAACATGACATTTTCTGCCTTTTGGATACTAGTATTTTTTATTACTTTTAGGCTAAAACATCTGTTTGACTGCTATAAAAGACCTTTTTTGCAATGATCTGTATTGGTGGCATTGGAATAATTAAATTTTAGTATAACTGGAGCAATGACAAATATCATGAAAAAAATGCCTACTGTGACCAGTAGTACATAAAAACACATTTAAGAAATTTATTTTATAGACTCATAGGTTTAGTAGTGATAATAATAGGGAAAGAAACTTTTGCAGCTACACCAATGTTTTTAGGGGATAATGGATTATACTCACACCTTCTATATTTTTCTAAAAAATCACTTTCAGAAGTTCATTTTAAATGAAGGAGCAGCATTAATTTGATTCAAAGAACAATAAATCACTAGATGATATGGCGTTAAAAAGCTTAATGGGCACTATTAGTTTTCTTCATCGATCTACAATGCTATTGATATTTAAATAATTATAAAGCAGAGTGCATAGATAACAAAATCCAGTTAATAGATCCAAGGACACTAATCTCAACTTTTATTTGATGGAAGAAAATAAACTGCAGAGTTTTAAATTACCTTTTCTCATTTTCATTAAGGGACCTATTTTATGAATAGTTTTCCTTTAGTTTTCAAGAGGAAAAGCACAATCTTCATTAGAGTTCTTACTTTTAAATTAGTTTCTCTGTTCATTTTTTCCCCTACTAAAATTATTATAAAACTATGAAATACTAATTTCATTTGAACCTGAAACAAGACTTGCTTGGAATGCTGCATTACGTATAGTTACTTTCCTTCCTCCCCCACAAACCCTCAGTGGCTTCCCACTGCTTTTGGAACAGAAATTGAAACTACTTATCCTGAAGCTTCAAGTCCTTCATTAGCTGTTTTCTACTTTTCTTCCTGAGTTTACCTACCGCTATTTTCTGGTCTAACCAGTCTTCTAAAGTCAAACGTTTTCTAAACACATCAGGAACATCCCTCCCCTGTACGCCCTACTGTCCAAGTCTGGGATTGCCTCTCTGCTCCTCTCCACTCCAGCCTGGGAGCAGCTAGAGCCGACCTCTCCAATAAAGTGTTCCCTAATTCTCTCTGTTCTTTTTCTCTTTCCATGATGTTTGGAATTTCTGCTTCTTTTTAGATCTGCTTCATAAATTAAACTCGAATAATGTTCTGCAGGACAGGGGCCAGGGTTTGTGACTTTTTATATTTCCAGATCCTAGCTCAGTATTCTAGAGGCACTCAAGAAGTGGAAGCTCATATCATTTGACAGTCTGAAGTAAAACATCTCTCTTAAAACAAATTCTAACATTATTGAAATGTGTGAGTTTGGCAGAAGAACATTTTCCTGTTTACTAGTAGAATGAATTAAGAATTATTTTTTGTTCTTTTGCATAATTGCTTACTATAGCATAATCTAAATGTTAGACTAATAAATTTCCAGATAAAATATTATCTACACATAATGTTCTCCATAACATTTACTAAATCATTAATTTTATAGAATCATAGACTATTTCAATTAAAAAGACTATAGAAATTATTTATATCAAATTTATTTATGAATGATAAAAATAAGACTAAGAGGAGTTAAGTAATAAAAGAATCATGCCTAGGAATTGCATCTCCTTGATAGAAAAATAGCCAAAGTAGGGGATAATACATCAACAAAATACTAAAATGAAACATAAACCTTTGATAAGAAGAAAGTGGTGAAATGGGTCATAACTGAAAGATAATGATACTTAAGTCAGCAGCATTCATCATCATAATCTTCTTAGGTATAGAAATAATACAAGCCCTGCAAAATTCTATGGGCCAACTAAACAGTGAGTTTTCCTACCAATGCTATATATAGAGACACAGTTTAGATAACATAAAAACTGAGCAGATAAATTTGAAGTAGCATTCTGAAGTGTTAGTGTGGATTAGTTTTGCCTTTATATATTATTACAGTTATTTTCTTTGTTTTCTTTTATTAGATACTTAATCCGACCAGATCCACTGGCATACCTTCCAAACAGTGAACCCAGTCGGAAAAACAGCATCTGTAACACCACCACTCAAGACTCTCGGGAAGAAACTCAGCTTTGATAAAAAGAAAATAAGAGACTCTTTTTTTTTTTCCTACAAGGATCTTGCTTGGAACAACTCTAAATCTTAGAGAAAAAAAAAATGTTGCTGGCATGTAATAAACTAGATTGGAGTATATTCAATTCTCTCATATTTTAAAAAATCTATTCTCTTAGAAGTGTAGATTATTTTGAAATTTAAAGTACTGCTTATTGGTACTCCTATTGATATATAAAGACATCAATGGAATGATTTTGAAAACCCAAATCAAAACACAAAAATTTAAATCTGATATTTAATTGTTTGACAATAATCCAAACTGTATGAAGCCAATTTTAAAATGTGTTAAAGTTTTATGAAATTAAACTGAAAATCCAACTGTATTTGGTGCATCATAATGGACGTAGATGATTGTTGCCCCTCTTAAATACTAAATGTCATATTCAATTCTTTAAAGTGGCTGTTTTATAAAATGGAGCTCATCATAAATGTCTAGTCTTCTCTGCACAGAGATTAACAAACAAACTTGTGTGGCTGACTTTTGTGTAAGAATCATAGTTTGCTTTAGAATATAAATCCTTAAGTCATTTTAACCTTTTTTGTTACCTTCTCTTATGAAACTCTATCATATTCGTTTTAGAGTTTCAGATGTTCATAGCATGTTTGATTACACTGAAGAAACCAAAACAAACAAAAAGAAATATCAAGGACCTGAACTTTTGCTAATTTTATGTCTGACATACCTTGTATGCCAAGAAAAGTGTATTAAAAAGCAAATATTTATTGTTCTCCTAAAAGAACGCCTAACAGAGACAGTACTTAAAACACATTCATTGACTTAAATTTAATCCAAGTATTGGATCATTAGCTGAAATATGCAGTAATGATTTTTCAATAGACTCTTGAGCTTTAATATTTTTCATGTATCTATACAGTATATTTCATTAGAAAGATACTTTAAAATTCAAAGAAGCAAAATTATACTTTTTATGAAATACAAAGACATTTCAAAATATGAAAAGTCCCCCTTTATGCCTTTAGTATTGAAATAATCATCCACAAAAAAATGGTATTTTAAAAAGTTTGATTTAATTTTGAAAAATCATCTATAAGAACTATGTTTTAACATTGTGAGGAAAAAAAGCATATAATAAAGACAAGTTGCTTTTACTGTTTAAATTTGACATAAATCATGCAGAATTTGACAGTTTCAAATTAAATATAAATTGACCCTTGGTGACACCAATGGTTTTATCTGTATTGATTTATTCCACTTCAGAAACAGACTGTAAAGCACAAGAGAATGGTTTGCCAGGTAGTTGGAATGTGTTAAGGTATTCCCATGAGGGAGACATTGGTAAACTTAAAAAGATATTTTTCTTCTAATTTTGTATTTGTTTTTATTTCTGAACTTGACATTGAATTTTAATTCAACAGAAAATAAGACATATAAGACTACAAAGAGACATTTTATCTTTTCTTTTCATAAGGAAGCAGATAAATTGAAAGGAAAATAGAAGGACTAAAGAAACATGGATAAAGAAAGCCTAACGTTCCCCCAAATAATTCTGTGGAAATAAAAATATAAACCATAAAATGTGAAATTATAGATTATAGCCATTGTATAATTTGGCTTAGAGAATATGAAATGCCTATTTGTTGTTGTTGTTTTTTAGTATTTTACATTACTCTCATTTCGGAACGACAAGAACACCAAGAATTTCCCCTAAAACAGTGAGAGCCTATTTTTAATTTTCTTTAACCAGACAGGGAAGCAGAATTTATAACATGTTACTTAAAATTGGAAGCATATCTTAAAACAAAGATTGTATGCATATATACATGTATATGTTATAAACACAGGTGAAATATATTTGACAAACACATACATGTAAATTATTCAAACTAAAGGCAGAATTGAACTGATATATGTAATGGAGAACAGTAATGAATTTAATGAACATGTTTCATATTTGCACATCAATAGTCAAGTATGTTTGTTTGAGTTGCCATTTCTTTACTCCATTACAGTTATTTTCAGGAATAAATGTAAGATATTACAAATCTTCTGTTTCCCCACAAGATGTCCCCACAAGTTTAGTATTTTTGCATTATGACAGGTGGCAAGACTAGGCTTTTAAGCTAGGACATGAGGATATTTCCTGTAAAACTGAAAATTTTGTTTCATAAATTTTACAATAATTATTTTTGATTATGAACATTAGTCCAAATTTAATATTTGACACAATTCATATCAGCTTGCTATAATAATGATAGTTTATTAGTCTTTCTGTTACTTAAAGAATAAAAACATGCTTATGAAAGCCTTTTAACAAACTGTTGCCTTTTTAAAATACTTACACTTGCACATGAAAATAAAACATCAAGTCAATACTAGTCCTTGTAACCCTACGGGAATTGGTTCTGTTTATTGTCTATGTACCATTTTGCTACTGGTTACATTGAATTGCTTTAAAATAAATAATAAAATTATTTCTGATGATGAAAACTCTTCGTGTTTTTTTGCCAAAACTTTAATTGTTTAGGCAAATTATGTTTTGAAGCTACAAAATGCATTTGTCACTTTCATATTTCAGAGGCAACATAAACATGAAGGTGATCTCATTGGAAAAGATAGCCATGAATAAACTGTTGTTGAATTCCTTCTTCATACAATAGGTTCTGAATTACTCTGTGGCAGGAAAGGAGAAGGGAGGAGGGAAGGACAGGGAGCCTGGAGATAGAGAAGAGGAAGTGAAGAAATGGAAAGAAGAAAAAAAAAGAAAGTGATGGAAAAAACTAACGTAGGTGCCAGAAGAAAAATATTTTTTTTTTACAAAACAGAGAATAGTGTCCCAATACACTAATTTAATGGACAGATAAGTACTGGTTAGAGAAAAGAAAAATAATTTTAAATGCAAAGGTAGACTTTTGGTTCCAGGAAAATGGAGTAGACACATCCCTCCCTACTCTTCCTGCTAAGTACAGCTAGAACCCCTAGATATTAGGTATCAAACAAGCACAAGTGACTGAAAAGAGGAGAGAAGAAGCAAGACGGACTAGGACACCGGGACTTGAAGAACAGCATGGTGGGGAGTTCCTTCCATTTTCTTTTTGCCTCCTGTGTATCGTGGATGGATAGTGGGAAATACCAATGAGCACAGACAAGAAGTCCCAAGAAAAGCCTGCTCTCTTCTTCCAAATGACTGACTCCTGCAGCAAGTGCAGCTTCCCCAGCACCAGCCTCCTGGTGCCCCTGGAGTGTGGGCGGTTTCTCCAGAGAATGGCTCCTAGAATTTAGGGAAGTCAACACACCCACCGGCCAGCAGCTTCCCTCAGCACCGCCTTGGACAGTTTTGTGGCCAAGCGCCTCCAGTGAGTCACTGCCCCATGAACCACTTTCCCTCTATTTCCAGCAAGTCCCACCAGCGCAGCACCACAATGACTTGACTGCAATTCTGAGCCACAGCTGTGCCATCTCCAACAGAGTCTGGATTTCAGTCCTGGAGTCTCTTCACGGGGCACTTTATCTCAGCCCTGAAGATAATGCCGGCTCCTTATATCTGCTATTTCTGTATTATTTTCAACTTCTCTTTACTTATGACTACCCTGTTGGTCATTATGCCAAAGCTCTGCTACAGTTAATGATTCTCTCTATTAAGTTTTCTCTGTCCAAATCACTTGTGGTTTCTCTTTCCAGATTGGACTCTGGCTGAGACATGATGCACATATAGCAGTTCTCCATCTGATTAAGTCTGAGATAATGGTGATATCAGATTCCAAAGACTGCAATCTGAAGGACAGATTTTGGGAAAATACAACAAATTGAACAGCACCTGCTGGGAAACTTCAAAGACAGACAATGTTCATCCCGTGGAGCGTTAGACCACGTTTATTTCATTTTGATCTTCTCTGCTCTTTTTATAGGACTTCTCTCCGGTCTATTTTTTTTTTGTAATTTTATTTATTTATTTTTTCCCCCAAAGCCCCAGTAGATAGTTGTATGTCATAGCTGCACATCCTTCTAGTTGCTGTATGTGGGACACGGACTCAGCATGACTGGAGAAGCAGAGCGTCGGTGCATGCCCGGGATCCGAACCTGGGCCGCCAGCCTCAGAGCGCGCACACTTAACCGCTAAGCCACCCGGCAAGCCCCTCTCCGGTCTATTTTATTTGCAGGGTCAGGTCAGCTTTAATTATGGTAGATCAATCTAAGATCGTAGCAAATGTTTCTAAAAAAACAGTTATTTGGCTTATAATTAAAGTCTATGTACCATCTTAGTATTCAGCAGAATTATATTTTATTACTTATATCTAAAAATGTTTCAGTAGAAACAAAGCAATGATCTGTCTTCGTAAATATAACAGCAGAAATCTTTAACAAATGGCACTATAATTTAATCACACTCCAAAGAAATATATAGTTCTACACAAAATTTATATTTTCCCTTTTCTCCCATATACAAATATGTTTCATTTCAAGTATCAGCAGGCTAGATATGTTTGCATTTGAACATTAAATACAAGTCCAAGAGGAAACATTCCACAATTTATAGAATGAGATTCTTTTATCTGTATGTTACTGATATTCATATACAATAAGAAAGCTTGAGTCGGTCGTTGAAATTCAAAGACTTTTCTTCTTCTCTGAAAACTCTCAACTTGCGAGAGACAGGGACTACGTGATGCTCATTACTAGACCTGAGGTAGATACAGATGTTGAGGTTTGTAAATACATTGCACAGCCATATAGGCACAAATACATTGTATAATGCTAAAGTAATAATTTTAGAGTTGTCAGTACTTTTTAATATAGATATTGTCATATTTCAAATATTATATCAATTTGCATCAAATGTAATGGATTCCAAATTTTAATAGAGACCACAGAATGAGACCCCCAAAAGATCTGTCAGTCTATCATTGTCTTAGTCCATTTGGGCTGCTGTAACAAAAGTACCATAGACTGAGTGGCTTAAACAACAGACATTCATTTTTCACCGTTCTGGAGGCTGGGAAGTCCAAGATCAAGAGGCCAGCAGATTCAGTGTTTGGTGAGATCCACTGCCTGGTTCTTAGATGGATGTCTTGTTTTATCCACACCTGGCAGAAAGTGGAGAGAAACAAACTCTCTTGGGACTCTTACAAGGGCATAATTCCATTCATGAGATTACCACCCTCATGATCTCATCTAATCCTAATTTCCTCTCAAAGACCCAACCTCCTAATATCATCATACTGGGGGGCTAGGGCTTCAACATATGAATTTGGGGAGGATACAACCATTCAGTCCATATAATTCTGCCCCTGGCTCCCCCAAATTCATGTCCTCTCATGCAAAATACATTCATTCCATCCCAACAGCTCCAAAAGTCTTAACTCCTATCAGCATCAACTCTAACGTCTAAAGTCCGAA